CATATTCTGTAGTTTAGTCCCACATGGTGAAATCCTGGCTATTCCCTCATGCTCAGTCACATGCGCGATCCTTTTCATTCACCACACCCCAGCCAGTGGCCTCCTTAATCAGCTGTGCTCACTCATACCTCAGGGCCTGGAATCCCCCTTGTTTTTGGTATGTGTGGGCTCATGCCTCTGGTGCCTTCTCCCCTCTTTATGTTCAGGTTCCTCCTCACCCCCAGCAATTTGTTCAAGTATCACATTCTCTGTCCCTGTTTTATCAGTATATAATATTTTATTAATTCTTTGAGAATTACACATGCTGTATTTTGATCATATTCACCACCCACTCTTCCAACTCCTCCCAGATCTACCCCATCCCTTCACCCTCTCCGAACTTCATGGCTTCTTTTATTTTTATAACCCACCATGTCCAATTTGTGCTGCTCATATACTCACAGATGTGGGGTGATTCCCTGGAGCATGCTCGACCTACCAGGGCCTGGCCTTGTTCTGAAGTAACTTATCCTCCCACCCCGTTCCATCACACATTGCTTGTATTTCCTCTTTGATACCATCACTCTGAAAACTTAGGACTATTTAATTATCAAGTTGCTTGTTGTTTGTCTGCCTTGCTGATCACTATTTCTATCCCTTGGAAGGAGATGCATGACCTGTGGCCTCTCCGGTGACCCTTGCTGACCCACACAGTTCCTAACATTTGTTCAGCAGGTGTTCAATAAATGCACATCGTGTGAGTGGACGGCTCAGTGCCATGGTCTATCTAGACTGAAATGTGAGTCAGGTATGCTAAGGAGATCAGGAAGACACTACCAGTTATGAAGAGCCGCACGGGCAATGTTAAGTATTTCCATTTTATTCTAGAGGCCAAGGTATGATACACTACGATCAGCATGTCACTTACAAAAACCACTCATGTTGTACTGGAGGACAGGGATAAACTTTGCCAGCACTCCAGCGGAACATTCTGGAAGATGCACCAATGTGACATTTACAAGAGAAATGATCGGGACTTCCAAGCCCTTTTCGGCCTTCAGCAATATCATTATTTTGGAGACAGGTTCTCACTTTGTAGTCCAGGCTGACTTGGAACTCACAGCAATCCTCCTGTCTCAGCCTCAAGAGTGTTAGAATGATAGGTGTGAGCTACCGCACCCACCCAGCTATGTCTTTATTAAAAACTGAAATCAATCTGGTCATTAATGAGAGTCACATCCTTGGGATGTTGGGAGAAATATCTTAATCTTTTAATTACATTTATGTGTGTATGTATGCATTTTTTGCACATGTGTGCATGAGTGTGCATGAGTGTGTGTGTGTGTGTGTGTGTGTGTGTGTGTAGAGGTCAGAGGATAACTTTCAGGAGTCCATTCTCTCTTTCCACCATATGGAAGAGACCCGGAGATTGAACTTGGGTTGTCAGGTTTGGTAGCAAGTGCCTTTACCAGCTGAGCCATCTCACTGGCCCATTAGGGAAAATTTCTGACACTCTTTGATGCGAAGTTCTGCTGAGTATTTTAACAAGCATCTTCCCCAGACCTTCCCACCACCAATGCAAATGCATTTAGTTCTTTCAACGCTTCTCCTATACCATGGTTTCACAATCACACGGAGCACTCTGTTTACCTCAGGGTCTGTCTTGGAATTGGTTCAGGGTGGGGAGGGGACTGTGAAGTCTCACCCTGGCTAAGGAGCTATTGCTGTTGGAGGGATGGGGAGTTATTTTTCTTCAGGATGTGGCACTGCTGGTAGATTGCCCAGCTTCTGGTGTGTGGCCCCACAGTCATGCACACACAGGCAGGGCTAATTGGACTCCGTAGGTTATAAAAAACAAAGAAGAGAGGGCTGAGATGGCTTAGTGGGTAAAGGGGCTTGCCACCAAGATTAATGCCCTGTGTTTGATCCCTGGAACCCACATGATAGAAGGAAAAACTGACTCTTGTAAGTTATCATCTGACCTCCACAGGCATGCTTTGGCACATGTGTGCCCCCCAATAAATAAGTGAATGTTAAAAAATTTAAAGAAGAATATATGAAGGTGGGAGGAGGGGGATGGGGGAAGGGAAGTGGGAGATTTGGGCTGGAGATGGTTAAGATATGTTTTATACATGCATGACCTTTCTTTTTTGAATAATAAGTATCGCTTTATTTGCTGATCGCCATTACAAAAACCAATTACATAGCAACAAAAAGTGTTTTGTAAGTTGATGTCTGAGGCAGTTACTTTCCAAAATGTTAAGTAAAACTGTTCAACAGCAGTATTAAAATGTTAAATTCCATGTTGTCTTCACCACTTTGATGTTCTAAACAATTAACTGAGCTAAATAAGGTAAAGGATTACATTTATTCTATCTTTAGGAATGGAAAGGTCTAATTATTCAAACAGTTTTATTATAAAACTAAACCACAGTTGGCGTTAAAATTTTGTTTTTTCTTTAAATCAGTAGTCTTAACAAGGATTAGAAATGACAAAACTCTGTTCAGTGTCTGAAAAAGTAGAAAGGATGAAAACATAAATTTGGCAAATTATAATACAATGCCTTCACATGCATGAACTTTTAAAAGAAAAATAAAAATATTCTCAAAAAGACAATTGGTTCAAGGATGACCCTTGAACTTGTAGGTAAAATCAAATGCAGAGGGTGTTTCCTGGCTGAAGATTTTGTCTTTTGGTATACTCTAAAAAGGGAAACAGTACCAGAGAGAAAAACAAGTGGCCTATTGTGGCCTCAGCTTGGTGCACAGAGTTCAACAGCAACTGTGGGTTATACAGAAACAGCCACACACCATTGACCACAGGAGCTGCACGTATGGGCCACCTCCATGTGACATGCATATGAGGTGTGTGCATGAGTGTGTGTATCTGTCTAGGGGTGTGTGGATATGTGTGTATGGAGTGTGTGTGCATATGAGTATGTGTGTGTATGAGTTTGTGTATATGTGTAGATAAGCGTGTGTGTGTGCATGTGTACGTATGATTCTGTGTATGTGATGGGGATCAAACTCAGGTCCTTGTGACTGAATGAGATACCTTTCAAGTCTGTGACAGACATTTTCTAATGGCTGTATGTGTGTTAACCTATTCTTCAAACATTCATATAAGCTAGGCACCTGCGTCTGATAAATGAGGACATAGAAGCTCTATAAATGAGGGTGAGATCACTGCTCTAGGACATGGGCAGAGACTACTCATCTCAGCCACCAATCTTCCTGTTTTTTTTTTTTTCGGTCTTTTTGAGACAGGGTCTCTCTGTAGCCCCAGCTGTCCTGGAACTCACTATGTAGACCAGGCTGGCCTTGAACTCACAGAGACCTGCCTGCCTCTGCCTCTGCCTCCCAAGTGCTGGGATTAAACGCGTGCGCCGCCCCGCCTGCTTTTCTGTCCTTTTACAAATGGTCATTGGGCACTTCTCCAGAACAAACCTCTGGACTTTTGGAGGGTGGGAGCCTGTGGTGGTCTTCTGGAGTGGTTCCCCGGCCCCGCACTGAGAGAAGCGGTCAGAGTCATCCGTGAGCAAATTACTTCCTTTTTGTTTGTTCAATTCAGACCCTGCAGCTGAGAAGAGGGGGAGCTGACCTTGAGGTCCTGCATGCAGCCGTCCCCCACAATGGACTGACCCCAACCACTGGTGCTGAGGAGAGAGAACGAGGGTAAGAGAAGAGGAGGAAGAAAGAGACAAGGAAGGGTGGTGAGAGATGAAGGGGAGAGGACAGCAGGAAGCGGAGGGGAGGGAGTGATGAGGTAGAGGGTCAGAACTAAGGGGGGCAGGGAGAGATCATCAGAGACATCACCCACGATGGGGAGACAGTGAGGGCGGTTAGGGTAGAAGGGAGGACAGGGAAGAAAAAGCAAGACGCCGCCACTGGAAAAAGGTTAGGTAGAATAAAAAGAGGAAAGGCAAAGAGAAGAGAGAGGGACCCAGAGGAGGTGTGGCACAGGATAAGAAGAGGAAGGAAATGTGGGGAACGGAAGAGATCATGGATGCTCTGTGAGAGGCCAAGAGGGAAGAGGGCAAAGCAAGTTCAGAGGTGAAAAGGAGAAAGGATCGGAGAGGAGAGGATGGGGTGTCATGGAACCTATGGAAAATATAGTCTCCCCACAGAAAAATAGAGAGGGGCCCCTTGTGGTTTAATCTTGGACTCCAAGCATAACCCTGGACCTCAGATTAAGGATGATTCATTGTCACAGAGTGGGAGAAGAGAGAGCAGGTGAAGGGCGATTTCAGAAAGAGGGAAGAAGAGAGGAGATGAGGAGGCGGGTGAGGATGGCATCAGAAAGCCTAATGCGTGGGCCATCCTGGGCTTCTGCTTGGGTGCGGGAGTCACTGACCTGCAGGGAGGGCTGGATCTTATAACCCCAAATGTACACACACACACATACACACACACACACACACACACACACACACACACACACATTCACACACACGTGCTGGCACCTCCCACTATGTAAATTTGACGTTTTGAGTCCAAATGACAAATTCAGGGTCTTAATGAAGACATAGACAAAGCCCATTGTGGATGAATTTTGACATGAATAAGGTGACACAGAGTTGTGGAAAAATGGAAGGAAGCAGAAGTGGGTAAAGGGGAGTGGGTAAGGAAGTAGCAATGGAGAGGGAGAGAGGGAAAGAGGAGAGGAAGAAGGAGAAGAGGAAGAGGAGGAGGGAGAGAAGACAGAGAGGAAAGGGAGAAAGACAAAGAGGAAGACAGGGTAGGAAGAGAGGAAAAACCAGGAGGAGGGAGAGAAAGATGGAGGACACTGAGGGAGGGGATGTGAATGCGGAGAGCTGTTTCGCCTACATGTAAGCCTACCACGGGTATGCAATGCCCACAGAGGCCAGAAGAGGGCGCCAGATCCCCTGGAACTGGAGTTACAGACAGTTGTTAGCTGTCATGTGGGTGCTGGGAAACGCAAACCTGAGTCCACTTGCAAGAGCAGCCAGTGCTCCTAACCACTGAGCCATCTCTCCAGCCCCAAGGCCTCCACTCTTACACTCCCAGAGCTGAAGGGGCTGCAGTGACCCTGTATTTATCTCTGCACCCAGGATGGGCCCGGCCACCCTCAATGATTCAGGGACCTCAGAGTTCGTGCTGCTGGGCTTGTGGGCTCCTCCACCCCTGCGTCCCCTGCTGTGGACCGCTCTGCTGCTGGCCTATCTGGCCACCGTGTTGGGCAATGGCGCCCTGGTGGGACTGATCATGCTGGACAGGAGACTGCACCGCCCAATGTACCACCTGCTGACCCACCTGGCCCTGCTGGACACAGCCTATGTGAGCACCACGCTGCCACAGGCACTGGCACACATGGCCACACGACGCCCGCATCTCTCCCTGGCACGCTGTGGGGCACAGCTTTACGTGGGCATCTCCTTGGGCAGCTGTGAAGCAATCCTCCTGGCAGCCATGGCCCTGGACCGCTGCCTGGCGGTGTGCAGACCCTTGCGCTATGCGGCCCTGGTGACGGCTCCCCGCTGCGCCATGCTGGCCGGAGCCTCCTGGACACTGGGCTTTGCGCTGTCGGTGCCCAATGCGGTGGCTGCACTGCGCCTGCCCTTCTGCCCCGGGAGGCCAGCGGTGGACCACTTCTTTTGTGAGCTGCCCGCGGTGCTGAGGACGGCCTGTGCAGACACCACAGCCAACCACAGGCTCGTCTATGGTCTGGGCGTGCCCATCCTCGTGGTGCCCTTGGGCCTCATTCTGGCCTCCTATGCCTGGATTCTGGCTGCGGTGGGCAAGCTGCCTTCGGCTGGGAGTCGCCGCAAGGCCCTGTCCACCTGCAGCTCCCACTTGGCCGTGGTCGGGCTATTCTATGGCACCGTGAGCGCCATGTACCTGCGACCCCGCGCCTCTAGGGCTCTCCCTGCCACACACCATAAACTGGTGGCAGTTTTCTACCTCGTGGTCACACCCGTCCTCAATCCACTCATCTACAGCCTTCGAAACCGTGAGGTCCACGCGGCAGCACTCTACGCCCTGGCCCGGCTGCAGGGCATGCGCACCGTGCTGCCCTAAGTAATGGAGGCAGCGTCGCAAAGCTGGTAGGGCCTTCCTCTGACCCTCCAATTCCGTGGAGCATCTTTAAAAAAAATTAAATATAGTTGGGCATGGTGGTGCAGGCCTTTAATCCCAGCACTCGGGAGACAGAGACGGGGATTTTTTTGTGAGATCGAGTCCAGCTTGGTCTACAGAGCAAGTTCCATGCCAGCTGAGGCTTCAGGGAGACCCTGTCTCAAACAACATAATATTTTAATTATGTGAGAAATTCTTATTAAATTGTTACCATGTAGTTTGGTCATATTCATCCCTCCTATGTCTCTCTCCCAGGTCCACTCTTACCTCCTCATCCCCACCCAACTTTGTGTGCTCTCTTTCTTTCTTAGACAAGGTCTTCACTATGTAGCCCTGGCTGCCTTCAAACACAGGTATCTACCTGCCTCTGCCTTCTGAGCGTTGGGCTTAAAGGTATGTCCTGGATTCTTGTATTCTCCTCCTCTTCCTCCTCCTCCTCCTCTCCTCCCCCTCCTCCAATCTGGGCATGCTGTTATGGGTGTGTAGTTATCCCTGGAGCTTGGCGGACCCACTAGGGGCCACATCCTTAAAGAAAATTCCTTTCTCCCAGAAGCCATCAACTGTTCACAACTCTTCAGATACAGGTGAGGGTCTATGAGCCCCTTTTCCTGCAGCATCTTTGTAACCCATCCAGCTAGATCTGCCAGTACTTTGTGTGTGTGTGTGTGTGTGTGTGTGTGTGTGTGTGTGTGTGTGTGTGCGTGCATGTGTGTGTCTCATGTAGCTCAGGCTTCAATGTCTGATTCTGTTGCCTCTGCCTCATAAGTGCTGGCTGGGGTTACAGGCCTGTGCCACCACAGCTGGTTTATGAGGTGCCTGGGTTAGAAGCCAGGGCTTTTTGTATGCCAGAGGAGCACCCTACCAACTGAGTTCTACCCTCCACCCTGTGAGCACTCAGCAAAGCACTAGAGGATGGATGTTTTTGGCTTTGTTGTAACGATTTCACGTCTGCACCCATGGAGATGGAGCAGTCACAGAGAAAAATAGAAAAAGACTGAGGAAGGTTGGAGGTTGGAAAGTTCAAGTTCTTTCTGGGGTAGGGAGTGAGTTCAAGATCAGCCTTGCAGCTCAGTGAGTGTCTCAAAAATAAAAACAAAACAAAGACCAGACAAAAACAAAAATAAAATCAGGGCATGGCAGCACATGCCTTTAATCCCAGCACTCGGGAAGCGGAAGCAGGTGGATCCCTATGAGTTCGAGGCCAGCCTGGTCTACATAGTGAGTTGCAGCTTCATCAGGGCTACGGGGAGACCCCATCAAAACAAAACAAAAACCAGACTGATCGTTATCTGGATTAAATAAGTAAGATATGTGTATCATGGCTTTAAAAAATTGAACATTAATTTTCTTAATGTATTTTATTTAATATAATAAAGCATCATTTCAACATATGAACAATTAAAATTTTTATGTTAATGAGAAATCTGATGTTTACTTTTCAGCTATGGTATTTAAATTTTTCTTTATTTTTGAGAATTTCATGCATTTATACAATGAAATATGATCATGAATCTTATTTCCCTGTCCAGTTCCCTCATGCTCCCCCTTAACAGATCCTTCTCCCAGCTTCATGTCTTTTTCTCCCTTCGAAGTAATGTAAGCTGTTCATTGATACTAGAATACAACAGGTAAGACTCACATAGGTACGGGACTGGAGAGATGGCTCATCAGTTAAGAGCACTGGCTACTCTTGTAAAGGGAGTGAGTTCAGTTCCCAGCATCCATATGACAGCTAACGACCATCTGTAACTCCAGTTTCAGGGCATCTAATGCCTTCTTCTGACCCCTGTGGGCTTTGCATGATATGGGAGCACTTACATGCATGCAGCCAACTCTCATACACAGAAAATACAAATAAATAAATAAATAAATAAATAAATAAATAAATAAATAAGTGAATAAAATTGAAAAAAGATTCAAATAGGTTGCTGTGCAAGTATTTCTATTTATTTTTTGTGGTTCAAATTGGTGGCTGACTAGGTTATTGCAACCGCGTTTTCCAACATCGAGGCACAAGCTAACACAGGAAGTGAGCAGTGAGATCAAATTCAGGCAGTCAGGCTCTAGAGCTTCTATCCTCAACTACTGTGCTCATTCTCTCCTTTTCTCTCTTCTCTCTCTCCTCTCTTTCCAGTCTTCCTTTCTCTAACGTTCATTACACTGGTAAAGTCATATGCCATTCTGCTCACTGAGGTGCTCGCTCTGGAAAGGGGTTGGCCCCCCTTCAGACCCAAGCATGTTTGTCCCAAAGTGTCCTCCAAGGCCCTTGTCTGGGGTGGGCTGGCCTACCTAACTCTGTGATAGGGAGAGAAGAGAACAACAAAACAGCTTAAGAGTAAAAGCATTGTGCCCTTGAGAAACAGCTGCAAGGTAAACCATTTCCAACAGGGATCACTCTAGTTTATCCCATGCTGTAAAAGTGCAGGAAAGAGAAGCCAGAAGTCCAGCCATGGGAAACTCATCCATGGACAGAAAGCTCAGGCAGAAACTTCAGCTGACTTCCTCTACTTCCCTAGTCAGTGAGCATCCAACTCCATGATGCTGTCTATTTCTATATGTTCTTTTATTTGGAAGCCTCACCTGAGGGGTCTCAATGGAGAATTCCAGCTGGCTACCTTAAGGGGGCTTTCCCAGTCAACTTCTGTATTTCATAGCCAGAAGTCCAGCCATGGGAAACTCATCCATGGACAGAAAGCTCAGGCAGAAACTCCAGCTGACTTCCTCTACTTCCCTAGTCAGTGAGCATCCAACTCCATGATGCTGTCTATTTCTATATGTTCTTTTATTTGGAAGCCTCACCTGAGGGGTCTCAATGGAGAATTCCAGCTGGCTACCTTAAGGGGGCTTTCCCAGTCAACTTCTGTATTTCATGATTCTCTCTCTCTCTCTCTCTCTCTCTCTCTCTC